AGAGGATCACCTGACTCCGGGGATATTGCAACCGTCATAAATATGAGTCAGTTGAGTGGTGCGGTGGCCTAGAGGTGGACCCCTCGCCTCACAATCAGGAGGCTGTGAGTTTGATCCTAGGTAGAGGCACATATGAGAATATATCCGCTGGACAAAACTTCTCATTGGTGACAGAAAGAGCATCTGGCCAGTAAAACACTCTGCTAACTACATTCAGTTGCCCAGACTCCATCCCACATGGGGGGTCGTTAAAAGAAGATGATAAATATGAGTTAGTTGCCAACAGTCCAAATTCGGATCCGTGACCCACGGTTTTAAGCGTGGAAAATGGGTCACCGGTCACTTTTCCCAGGGCTGTTTTAACTTTCAACGGTCACTAAAATGAACTGTCATAGGTTTGAGGCCTATCCGTACAATTATCTAAAGCCAAGAGGCCGGTTGCTTCCTTGGTCGTATCAATGGAATGTCTTGGGCTGCTCTCCAATTTATCTGGACAATGAATAATGGAGATTAGGTAGATGTAAAGGTTAGTGTTCTTCCATTAGACTCGGGTATGACCCGGTGCCCAGTGGCACTCATTGACTTATAGAGCAGGGAGTTTTTCGTCCCACTGAGAAATGCCACATCTGGATAAGGTAGGTCCCTCATTCTATGTCCCATCAGCCAACATTGAATTCATGTGAACCTTCATGCCTGCCTGTCTTGTCGCAACCAAGGTTTGTTTTGTCTTCCGTACGCTGTTACAATGACATCCCTTTGCTTGCTGCATTTTAGCTGCCCATCGGATGCCCGCTAGGAGTTACTAACCCTTCAATTACGACTGCATGTTTAAAAGTGGAAACCCTGAAAAACAGAACATAATTTGACGGCCCCGAGCCTTCTAAAAAAAAACCATTGAGCTGAAAGTTGAACGCATAGCGTTCATACGCGACCTTCCAGAACTGCTTTAGTGGACAGGTCCAATCGCATCCCTACAGGCAGTCCTCGACTTACGACTACCACCGAGCCCTAAAATTTGCTGCTGTTCAGCGAGACATTTGTGAAGTGAGTTTTGCCCTCTTTTACGAGCTTTCCTGCCTCAGTTGTTAAGTGAATCACTGCAGTGGATAAGTTAGCAACCTGGCTGTTAAGTGAATCTGGCTGTTGTGTTCCGCCAGCGGATCTGGCAGCAGATTCAGACAGTGAGGAGGTCGGGGAGGAACATGGGCCAGTCCTGAAGTCTGGGGAAGGCTCTGAGGAAGGCTCTGTGTCGGAGGCAGAGATGGGGCCAAGGCCATCCAACAGTTATCAGCTGCCTCCGGAGCTGGACATCATTGGAGCAGAAGAACACACGAGCCTCTTCCCAATGTGTGCATGCACAGAGCTGCCAGATGAAGGGAACAGCTAAGGAACAAGGGTCAGAATTCGGGAGTAAAGACACAGATGGATGGTGAATGGCCCCTCCCGTAGGGAATAAAGAGGAGTGAAAGGGGAGTGGAGTTTGCAGGAGACAATTAGTTCAATTCATTCAGGTGAAGATCTGTTCCTGACTTCTTGCCAAGTAATTGCTGCTATAGCGTGGCATTTTGAAGATATCGGCCTTGTAGCTCTCCAAGACTGTAGCCGTGGAACCTCTTGAAAGACTGTTGGCTGGGACTTTGCTGGAGAGGAATTCCCTTTAACCTAAATAAAAGGGGATTTATCGGGATGAGGAGTAGGCTGCATGATCATGGGAAGTCTAGGAGATTGGCTTCCCCCTTGCTTGTGTGAAGGTCACATAAGGGGATCATGT